TCAGACAAAGTTGACTTCAGGCAAAATTGATTTATTCGGGTCATCAGGTCATTGGTAGCCAATAAACAGTATTTTGTTCTTTAGTTATTTAGCTGTGTTTAAGTGGCCAGTGTGTGTGTAAGGGCTGTGCTTAATGTCAATCACTGACTTAAGCTAAGAGGACTTTGGGAAACCCAGCCCAGTACATTTTGCTTGATCGACAAAAAGCAGGGACAAAGTCACTTGGACACAAGTGGACAGGACCACAGATCACCTCACAAGTGAAATGATAACTATTAACTTGAGATTCAACTACAAAGGATGACACTCATTGCTTAATAAACTTTCCTTGTCTTTTGATCACTAACCCTTTAAGACTGCCTATGGATCCAACAGGATGTCATATGATTCACTTGCATCTAGCCAAAAACTGTGATAGGCTATAGTTGGCAGTACTATTAACACAGGTTAACACAGGTGAAGAATGTTATTGTATCATCGGAGAATAAAATAATAAAATGGCATACTTGATTAAGTATTTTAAGTATTTCAAATACAAAATACTGTCTCAAAATATTTAATTACAAATTACATTAGATTTTTTTTTTTTGTCCAGCAAAATACAAATGACAAAATATTCAAAAGTAATTAAATACGTATTTTAAATACATTTAATTAAAATACTGCCCATCTCTGGTGCCCTCTTTAAACAGATTTGGGCACTGGACTGGTATGATATCTACTGTAGTACAGGATACAGGCTACATTTTTGTGATACATTTTGTTAAAAAAGTGAATTTTGTCAGTGTTAAGTAGTACACTAGCACAATGCACTAATCATGTCTTAGACATAAAAAAAAAAACAATCCCCCATTTGTTCATCTAGTAATAGGTAAAACTTTAGATATTACTGTACTCAATTTAAAATATTTAAATGATATTTTATATTAAAATTTGCACTTATTCAGTCTTATGCCTAATATGCAGAAAACCTGTCTTGTCACATTCAATAATTAATTACATTTTAATTAGTAATTTCATATTCATGATCTCTATAATAACAAATCACAAAACTCATCCACTGGGAGTCTAAAGCCTCGTACACACCGGGACGATTATCGCACGCGCTTATCGCCGACGTTTTTCGACGCGTCTTTTGTGTTCATACCATAGACTGTATAAAAACATGGACGTAGTGTCCGTGATGTCACCCGTAGATTTCCGAAGAGCGTTTTTGAAGCTCAAAGTGGGCGGAGCTGGCCATCACCATCTTGGCAGCGCGTCACTCCCGTATACCTGAAAACCACGCCCACCTAGCTCGACGGTGGTGACAGCAGTGGCAATCCACCTGTCACTCAAGTGGCCATGCCCTTAATTATGCAGAAATGTAAGGCTTAATATAATTTAAACAGATGATTTATAAAAAAATTCACCCCCCTCACAGTTGTCATGAAGGGCAAAATTAGCTATATAGACCAAAATAATTTTTTGAACCAGGCTGTAAACGTTTTTTTTCTGCTGTAAAGTTGGGCATTTTAACAT